TATTATTATCGAATTAAAACGGAAAACAAGAGCTGTAATTCCATCAGTGCGTTAGTTGCGGACACACGCGATATGCCTTATATTTATAGCTTTTATGATAATACGCGCTTGTAAATAAAATTTATTTAACATTAAACTTTCAACTCTTGTATTTATGGTAGAAAAAAAATAAAATATTAGTAGTAATGTTAAATCACTGATAAGAAAACAGGATGCTTGATATTATTTTTTTTTTACATATAAAAAATAAGACAGTATGTTTTTTTGAAACAATCTTTCTTGAAAATTAAAAATTATAATTATTAAAATTCAACAATGGTATTTGAACTTTACTTATTTAATGTTAAAAAATTAATTTTAATTAAATTAATTTTTAATATTAAAAAAAAAATTAATTTGAATAATTTAAAGAACAAAATTTTTATAAACAATATAAAGACTCGTTAAACTAATCCTCATATAAATATACCTAAGGTTCAATTGTTCCAAGAAGATTACTTTTCATGCCGCATGTACTCCCTTTTATATAAGACAGATTTCATTCAATGTATGAGAATAATAATGTATAAAAAAAGTACGTTACACGTAATTTACAGTGTACATTAAGTTGGTACACGCGAAACAATACTTAAGTAGCTTTAACTTGACACAAAGAGTGCCTAGCGATTACAAAATCATTTTAAACTTTTATTACTTCAACCCTAACTATATACGCGCAGTCATTATATAGAAAAGAAATTAAGTCAAATTTTTTATTTATTAATAATCGAGACAATTATTATTAAATTCAATTATAATTTTAAATAAAAATTTTCCTATACACAAATTTTTCTTCTTGACAGTATTTTTTAATTAATTTTTTTTCTCATTCAAAAAGAAGAAGGATTTAGTTAAAACTGAAAAAAAAATAAAATAAAGACGAATTTCCAATACTGGGAATGTTTAAAATCCATTAGCGTCGTTCCCATGCGAGAAATTCAGCTCCGATATATATATATATACATATATACGCATATACTGTGAATTATTAAGTTATCTTTTCCACCAACTGAAAAATAGGTATACTGCTAAAGTGTACTCACATGGTGTATATAAAAGTTCGTTTCAGTATAAATTGAAATCCGAGAAAATAAAATCAAATGGGCATTCAATTTTGATTTCCCCGAATTTGTTCAACTACATCAAGTTTATTAAAATGCAATTTACGTAGAAAAAAAATCTCCATAACTTGTTTATTTATTTTCCAAAAAAAAACAAAAATTTAAAAATTTTTCAAGACTGACAAAGGATTAGCTGATGATAGTTTCGTAATAATGCTATTCCATATAATCTAATCTCACGTATCAGTGAAACGCTTTCAATCAGAATTATATAACAAAGTGTACAGTAGCTCTAAATTAACTGAATTGGATTAAATATATATGTATATATATATATATGTACTTCAATCTACTCAGCGTGTAATTAATTTTATGTCTGTTGTAACGATGTATATTAAATTGTCAAATTTAATTGCACCTTATATATGTTATAAATAGAAAATTAAATATCTCTCCTATACAGTTGAAAGCTATTTATTAATCAAGAATATTGCAGACTTGTTAGATGTAAATTATGTGGAAACTTTTAATAATCATTTTTGTGTAAAAAAATAAATGGTTCTACATTTTTTTCAAATATATTTCTATATATTTAATATTTAAACAAATTTTTCTAAAATTTGTATTTAATCAAATTTTTCTATTCAACTTCATTTTTATTTAGAACAGTTTTTATTTAGCTAAATTTTATATTTAAGGAAATTTTTATTCAACTAAATCCATCGATTATTTAACCAAGCTATTATTTAGCCGAATTTTTCTAATTTTATCCAAAAGCTAAATTTTCTAAATTAAAAATTCGGCTAAATGAAAATTATTCAAAAAAAAAATTCTACTAAATGGAAAATTTGGCCAAAGAGAAATTCTTTTCAATGAAAATTCAGCTAAATAGCAATTCTAAAATTCAATTTAATTCAATTCTAGCAATTCTAAATTTTTGCTAAATTTTGGTTAAATTAAAAATTAAATTTATCGTAACTTATAAAATTCGGCTAAATAAAAATTACACTGAGAAAAAAAATTTATTGTTTGCAATAAAATTGTTTGGTTAGGCAATTTTGGTTCTTGTAATCAAATTTTGATTGGCTGAAACAAAGTCGTAGATTTATCTCAACTAAACATTTGGTTAGGCAAACAAAATTATTTGGTTGAACATTTTTAAATTCCAAGCAAAATTTAGTTACGACAACAAAATAGTTTGGTCTAAGAAACCAAATGATCGTTTGTTGTCCTAACCAAAATTTGGTTGCGACAACCAAATAGTTTGATTCGCTCTTAGCTCTGACTAAACATTTTTCTCAGTGTAATTTTAAACACTATCATCAAGTGAAAATACAAATTAATGGCTTTTAGAGAATATTTTTTCCCTTTTAAAAAAAGAAAAGAAAGGACAAAAATAAAATTAAAAAACTAATGAAATGCAATAAAAAAAGTTTTTGTGATACAAAAATTTTTTGGCAAGTGAAAAATAAAGAATATATGTATTTCTAATCGGATTTTGAGAAACTCGAATAATATTTGTACTTAGGGCATCTGAGCTTGTATAACCACCAGGACAAATATTCGCTAATGTGATCATAGATCATTTCGAGTTAATAAACCATCCATCCGAACTGGTGAACACAGTAGCCCAAAGAGAGGAGAGAGAGAGAGAGAGTTAGTTGGTGCAGAAATTGATTGGTTACAATATTCCGAAATGCGCGCCTCGAATAATTTACACTGCCCAAGTCTCTCATCAATTAGCTCTTGGACTTCTACTAATGAACTGTGGAACACCTAATTGTAATTAACCCAGTCTAACTTATTGCCACGTGAGGTCAGAAGTTCAGAGGCGCGCATAGGATGTATATATATATAAGAAGAAAATTTAAAAAAAAAAAATAAAAAAGAAGCGCCCAGCTATACTGTTTGTAACCACAAATGAATGTAACGATGAGTACAAAATTTTAAGCAGACTTTTTCATCTCTCTGCGATTTACTCTTATCCTTTAACTTGATTCTCAAACCACTTTGATCTTTTAACAAAGCTGTGCACTTCATCCGGAATTTCCATACCACACACACACACACTCACATACACTTTGATTCACACACATATATATATATATATATATACTCACAATCACACTGTAATCGCGCTAGTTCATCCTCGAGTTGAATAATTCTCTACGTCTGATATTACTTCAAACCAAATACCTTATTGAGAGGATGCTTTCACACATTCCCTCAATACTATTTAAGTCATATAACACGATTAGAGCGGAAGTAAATTCAGTCGTTCGTTACTTTTCACGCCATATTATATAGAAGATTATAATATACAGAAGGACAACAAATAGCGATTTTTTTTACCCTATTTCAATGGATCGCAGAATTACTCAAATGAATCACCTAAAAATTAGATTCTTTTTTAAAATTTAATGTTTTTTGTTTAACAAATAAAACCGGTTGATAAAAAAACTGAAAACTATATGTTATCAAACGAAACGTATACAATATTTGACTAGTTAACAATAATTGGTCCTTTTATCTTAATTGGCAAAGCGATCAATTATCCGAAAAAAAATACTATTACCAAAGACTTCTCCAGCAAATAACAATATAAAAAAATACAATTTTGAAAAAATTTAAATTTCTCCGCATAGTTTTTTTTTTATTTTCTACAGCAGAAAAATATAATTATCGGACCAATTATTTTGCAAAAAAAAAAAAAATTCTCTCTATGAATAGTTTGACAAATTGTAGCCTGTTCTCTATTTTTACAAATAAAAATTCTCTTTCTTTTTTTTTTTTTGTCCAAAATTTAGACTGACCAAATTTTCCTGACGTATTTAATTGCTGGAACTGAATTTCATGTCTCATGTTCTGGTATGAAGCATGTAAATAGTGAGAGAGGGAGTTTGGAACGAACCCCAATAGTGGAACGGTTGCCTTGTAACAGTGCTAAATTCGACAAACTGAATCAATGTGATCAAGATGGGAGGAGTTAGTCATTCACGTGTCTCTGATCGCAATTTCTGTCTCGAAACCATCACTTCCACCGGTTGAGTGTCTGATCAAGCCCAGGTTTAACTACTGTGTAAATCTGATGCTTTACTCCAGTTTCAAGTTATGACCCAAGTTTATCTCTCGAATATAATGATTATTGACTTTGGCATAACCGCGCCGCGATGCCTATCCTTTGATTACACAATATTCCCCCAACAATAACATCATTGATTTCACATTGCTTCTGATTGACAACACTAATTAAATGTCATTGTTATCACATTTAAGTTTCATTATTATACATGTGTAACAACTACTGTATATATATATATATATATAATTAAATATATACTAATATAATTAAATATATACTATATAATTAAATAAAGACTATATAATTAAATATAGACTATATAAATAAATATAAACTATATATATATATATAATTAAATACAGACTATATAAATAAATATAGAAAATATAAAAAGTATATAATTACCCCTATTATATACATTCAATTATAATTATAAAATTATAATACATCATTATTCCAAAAATTATATGGCGTTTTTATAATGTATAATTTATGGGGAGAGTTATTTTTTCCAAAAGACTAACGTGAAAGGTTAATGGAACTTTTGTGGCATTAAAATTGTAAGGAACTACTAACAATGTTGAACACGTTTGAACATAAATTACATCATGTAACCAATAATAATACATAACTATGAATTAACTGTCAATTTTATTAAAATTTTACCAAACTCAAAATTAAGTACTGCAATAGGACTAAATTTTCAATAATTCTACATTTATTTTCAATTTTAAATATTAAATAGGAAACAAAGGATCAAATAATTGAAATCTATTCATTGAATAAAAAAAGAATAATAGCAACCGTAACGAGTAACAATGAGAAGAAAAACAGAAAGTAACATCAAACAACGAGCAACAACAACAAACAAAGTAACAACTTGTAATAACTTGCAAGAAAAATTACAACTAATAATGTAGCAACAAAACAACAACAAGCAACAACAATAACTACTTACAAAGTAGCAACGACAAATAATGACAAGCAACATCAATAATAATTAACAAAGTAACAAAAAAATATAAACAGTAACAACAGATGAAGTAACAATAACAAATAACAAAAAAAACAAGAAAAACTAACAAAGTAACAATAACAAATAATAATAATAATCAACAACAAACAAAGTAACAACAAACAAAGTAACAACAAACAAAGTAACAACATACAAAGTAACAACAAACAATGTAACAACAAACAAAGTAACAACATACAAAGTAACAACAAACAAAGTAACAACAAACAAAGTAACAACAAACAAAGTAACAACATACAAAGTAACAACAAACAAAGTAACAACAAACAAAGTAACAACAAACAAAGTAACAACATACAAAGTAACAACAAACAATGTAACAACAAACAAAGTAACAACATACAAAGTAACAACAAACAAAGTAACAACAAACAAAGTAACAACAAACAAAGTAACAACATACAAAGTAACAACAAACAAAGTAACAACAAACAAAGTAACAACAAACAAAGTAACAACAAACAAAGTAACAACAAACAAAGTAACAACATACAAAGTAACAACAAACAAAGTAACAACAAACAAAGTAACAACAAACAAAGTAACAACAAACAAAGTAACAACAAATAAAGTAACAACAAACAAAATAACAAGCAACGACAATAACAATAAACAAAGTAACAACAAACAAAGTAACAACAAACAAAGTAACAACAAATAAAGTAACAACAAACAAAGGAACAACAAATAAAGTAACAACAAACAAAGTAACAACAAACAAAGTAACAAGCAACGACAATAACAATAAACAAAGTAACAACAACCAATAATAACAAGTAACAATAATTTCTAACAATGTAACAGCAACAAACAATAACAAGCAACAATAGTAACTGACAAAGTAGTAACAGACAACGCATACAACAAATAATAACAATCAACAACAATATTAACTAACAAAGTAACATCAAAATACCAACAAACAAAATAACCTGAAAACAAAAAACAGTAACAACAGACAAACTATCAAAAACGAATAACAAGTAATAATAAAAAACAAAGCAATAACAAAAATAACAGCAAACAAAGTAACATGAAAATAAAAACAATAACAACTGGCAAAGTAACAATTATGAATAACAAGTAACAACAAAATATCAACAAGAAAATAGCAAAATCACAATAATAAGAATGTAACAGTAATGTAACAGTAATGTGACAGCAATATAACAGCAATGTAACAACAAAGTTTCTAGAAAATAACAGTAAAATAACATAAATGATAATAATGTTACGACAATAAATAATAGCAAGTAACGACGAAAACAAAGTAATAGCAAAAAAAAAAAAAAAAAAAGGAATCTGCAATATGTTCTAAAAAGAAAATTGACACAATAAATTTGAAATAAAAACCTATCTATTGATGCGAAGGGAAGCAATTGAGTTGCTAAACTCACGATTTGATGGATGTTCGCATAAAAGATGAACCTCCCGCATGCATTGCATAATGCCGTTTATCCTCAATCATACTTGGAGCTCCACATTAAAATCCAGACTAAACGCCAGGTAAGGAGCAAGTTGGAATTGTATATAGTCGCGGAACCCGTCGTAATTAGTCGCTACTTCGTGCCATTTCATTCCAACAAGTTAAAGTTCTATATATACGATTCATTGAGTAATGCGGAGCACTCATTAAATATATATATATATATATATGTATATGTTCATCTTAGCACTTGGAAACAACATTTTTGCACTACAAGCGCCTCATTTTAAACAATTACTTTGTCTCTATTAATTATTGTGAATTACAAAGGAGTAATGTATTTCATCCCACTCATTGTTTTCAGAAAAATAAAAAAAATATATATATAAGTAAGAAAACAGGCGTTAATAAATTACTTTCCGCGAACATCTTGTTAAAACATTTAACGATGTTGAAGAGATCTTTAAATTTATTATTGTGAAAACAATGCATGAGGAACAGGAAAAAAATTTCATGAATTATTTGCTCTCAAATTTGTTGAAACAATTCACGTTTATTGTGTATTTATATATATGTTTCAAAATTCACGTTCAATTAAAAGATATGTCTATAACGAAATCTATGTACCAATGTTTGAAAAATTAGATCAGTTTGAAAAGTTAATTATTTTTTGTTTTTTCTTCATTTATTTCTCCAATTTTGAAATAAAATAGAAAAAATTTTCTAAAATTGTAAAAAAAAAATTTATTTTTATCCATTAGTAATCCATTATTAATAATAGATATAATATAAGTGTAGATAATGTGACCACCGTCAAGTATTTTCAGTATTAAACACCTTCGTGAGAGAACTAAATGCTATTGGGTCTGTAATGTGGCACGTTACTGCACATAAACTTGCACTGATCGTAAATGTAAAGAGGTGTGCGTGCAAGTGCATAATCAGAGATATCCTATATCGAAATGTTATAAATGGAACATAAATATGAAATGAAGCTCACCCCCAGATCATAACAGTCGATCCCTAGAGGGTTATTCCTATGATCATCTCGTTAATGAAATCGTATTATTCTCAAATGAATATTTTCTCAATGAATTACATTTCCCTCTAAATTTTGAATTAGTTAAAAATAACTATAATTTCATAGCAAATAAAAAAAAAAATTTATTTGATTTAAATAATCGGTTACTTGATTATTATCACATAAATATTTATTTCAACCAAAAAAATTTTTTTATAAATATAAAGCAACCCTCCCTATTATTATTATTATTATTATTTAAATTTAAGTATATTTTAAAATACAAAAATATTTTAGATGATATTTTCACAGAAGATTCAAAAAAATATATATATATATATATGAATAAAATATGATCGAAGGATATTTAAATTTTCATCCACCATATCGTTCTCTTAGAAATGGTGTCAATTTGAAATATTCGATTCATATTTATTGGTTAAAGAATATATATTAAAAATAATATAAAATTCGAATACTAACACAATTTCAAATATAATTGAGAAATAAATTCATCTGTCACAAAGAATATAGTCTACATTTCCAATATATTAAAAAATTAAAGAAAAATTTAACTGAGAATTTGCAAAGAGGAAATTTTGACAGAAATTTACTTGTTAAGAGAATTTAAATTTGTGTATTAAAAAGAAAAAAAGAAAAAAGTGGGACAAACTCGTGGAACGCATGTCTAATTAAAATCAAAAGGCTTGCCAATCATAAATACTCTAACTCATCCTAGTGTTGCATCTTTTAAGAGTGAAGGGAAGATTTACCCCACCCCAAAACTCGTGCGCCTTCTACAGACATCAAACAACTAATCATAATATATATACACACACATACAAACATTTTGCAAACACACAAACATAAAAAAAAGGTGGTGGTTAAACTGTAACAAAGAATCGTTAGGCTATATATAAGCATCATCGAAGATCATCTTCTCAGTTCGCTTAGACTCTTCAGTATAACATACACATATACAACAATATGGATCACTTTCAGGTGGGTAAATTTATATGGTGAAACAACCCTTTGCTTATAAGCCCACTGGTGGCTAAACAAACAAGTTTTGTTGATTCAATGGTTGGGTTATATATATATATATATATATATATTTATATGTATATATAGTTTCTCCAACTAGTGGTTTCTCTCTACTTAATGGTTGTTCAGTGCTACATCGTAAAATGTGTCCTTTGAACGTGTGTGCACCTCAGCAAAGGTTTCTCCATCTGAGAAAAACTTTCATTTTTTTTTTTCTTTTTTTTTGAAAAAAAGTTGGTAAATATAAGGGTGCAAAAACCTACAAATACATCAGAAAAATTTCTATAACGAGAAAAGAAAAAAAACAATTTCTTATTAACTGAAAGCAAAACTAAGAAAAATTCTTTCAAAATCATTTATTATTAGACTGAAAAAAATTTATTTGATTCAAATACTCGATTAATTGAATAAGTTAATTAATTTAAATATTGTAAAAAACAAATCCTAGAAAGAAAATAAATATCATATTTTATAAAAGTATTTTCTACTATAGAATAGATGGTAAAAAGCGAAAATTTCATATAATACTAATCGTTAAAAAAAAAAATAAAAATAAAATATGAAATTCGTCAGTTGAAAACTAGTAATATTGATTTAATATTGAAAATTAATTTATTTCAAAATTATGGGAAAATAATCAAAATTATATTTGTAAAATATTTGACATTAATAAAATTCTCTCGCGTTATTAAAATATTACAAGGGCATAAAAAATGTAAAACTTTTATTATAAACAAAAATTAATTTATCAGCGTGAGTTTAAAAAAAAAAGGTTAGGGCTCTGAATGTCATACAGTATATAGATAGAGGTAGCTTTGGTATAAGCCAATCGGTTGGAAGTGATGTATTCGGCACACAAATTGATTAAAAGGGGTTTCCAAGTTGGCTTGGCAAAAGCATCAGAACATCGTCCATTTACGATTTATATGCACCCATCCTATGAGTGTCACAAATATTATCCCGACTTTAACTTGTTGAACTTTCAAAGCCTCTCTTCTACTTCTTCTTCTTCCTTCCAAGAGATAGTAGCATCATATTTTATTTCATATTACAGTTCCTTTTAATATTTAAAGCTCCAGCATTTTACTTTTTTTTTTTGAAAAAAAAAAACAATTTTTTTTTTACCTTCGAGAAAAAAATTACCCGGATATTATATATATATTTTTTTTTCAACTATTTTTGTTAAAAAATATAAAAATTTTGAAAAATATAATTCAAATGAATGAAATGTAAATGCATATTTTCTTTTGATTACTCATGCATAAAACTGTCTATCTCAAATTCAATATTTAAACAATTTTTTCAATTTAGAAAATTGTCTATATTTTTAAATTATTTTTGTCTGATTTTCCAGTGATAAAAAAAAATCGTCAATTGGTGAATATGAAAATTTAGCTTTTTTATCATATTTTTTTTCCACGAGTTAAAAATACTTTTATAAAATTTGATATTTATTTTCTTTCCGTGCAGAGAAAACCTTTTACTAACGTTTATTTGTGATAAATAAAATTTACTTGAATCAATTACAAATATATTTTTCTCAAAATAACTTTTTATCTGTTTTAAATGAAAAATTTTAACATAACACAAACTGTATTTTATTTCGTGCAAATTAATTTTCTTTTTTTATTTAAAACAAATAAAATTTATTTGAACTAAGAAAAATTTTTATTATTTAATCAAATAAAAATTTATTCAAATCATTCGTTTAATATGAAATTTTTAATTTCCTTGCCTTGTCTCACTATGGAATGATTCCCTGGAAAATGCCCCCTGGAAGTTCTATTAGAATTCCGCCGGAACTTCCAACGTAATTCCGTCGGAATTCCATCGGAGTTCCAAAGAATTTCCGATGGGATTCTGACGGAATTCCGATTAATTTTTTTCAAAATGTTTAGAGTCCTAATTCCGTCGGAATTCCGTCGGAGTACTCCATCGGAATCCCATAGGAAATTCTTTGGAACTCCGATGGAATTCCGACGGAATTACGTTGGAAGTTCCGGCGGAATTCTAATAGAACCTCCAGGGGGGTACTTTCCGGGGAATCTTTCCAAGTGAGGTGTATTTGTAAAAATTAAAAAAAAATCATTTTTTACAATTAAATGAAAATTATATAATTTAATAATGTTTGAATGTTTGAATTTCACAGTTCACGAGCCTAATTTTGGCGGTGTCATTTATTAGTGTTAGTGTATCGGGAGGACTTCTTCCAGACGGTGGAACTGGTGGATATCAATATAATCGACCAAATGTAGGTTTTGGTGGTGATAATAGATTTGGAGTATTTGGTGGTAATAATGGTGCATTTGGAGGAAGACCCACGTCAACGTATGGAGTACCTGGATTTAATAATGGATTTAATGGACCAATAGCAGGTGGATTTGGTGGAAGACCCTCTGGATATTATGGAACACCTGGTTATAATTCAGGACTCAATGGTGGTTATCAGGGAGTTGGTGCCTATCAAGGTGGCTATTCTAACGATGGTAGCTATCAAGGATACAACGGTGACAATGGCAGAGTGAGTTGTTTTTTTTCCTTTTCTTTTTAATTAAATTTACTACATTTTCCATATCGTAATTTTATATATTATATTTTATAAAATTATATTTATTATTTTATTTATTACTTTAAATTTTTACTCTCTAAATGTGAATTAGTAAAAAAATGTTTACTAATTTAAATTAGTGACTCACTTTTTGCTTTAGAATTAGTTAAATTTTACTAATTTGTTAGTAAAAGTTACTAATAATTAGTAAAATTTTACTAATTCAGAAGCAAAAAGTGCGTTACTAATTCAAATTAGTAAACATTTTTACTAATTCAGATTTAGAGAGTATATAAAATTTACAATTTTTTACATTTAGAAACAATTAAAGTTTCATTTATTAAAGAAAACAAGTTACTTTAATTAAAAATCTTTTTTTTCTGTATAAATTTTTCTTTTTTACTATATATATAGTTAGATAAATAGAAAATTTAGTATTTTATATAATAATAATAGTACAGAGACTCTCGACACCTAGAATTTTTTTAATTACTTTTTCTCCCCCCTTTGAATTCAAAGAGAAAAGAATTAACGTCAAGTCGAGTTGAGTGAGTTTCACACTTTACGCGAGTGTAGTCGTCTTTGAGTTTTCTACGAAAAGAATTAATTTCATCGTCCTTCTGTGATTACTAGAAGGGATGGAGGTCGACTAATTGCACATTTAGTACTCAGATTACAATTTCATTTTTAAGATGAGTGATTCGACAATTTATTTTGAATTTTGGCTGATTCACTTACAAAAATTGAAAGCCTATAACGTTTTTCTTTTGCCGTTTATATATTGTATATATAAAGAAATTAACGCTAAAGAGAATTTTCGAATGTGCAACTCTTGTATGGCTTTTCATTTACATGACTCGGCGTATATAGTCAAAGCAACAGAATTCCTCACGAGCCTCGATTTGGCTGCGACTGCACGAGCAAAACTCGAGAATGCGCTTTGCGGTGGTTGAACCCTAACCTCAAAGAGCATTCCCTTTGAGTTTAAAAAAAAAAGAAGAAAAAAAAAAGAAAGAAGGAAAAAAATACTTTGAAATCAAAGTTTTAAATTCCATGTTCACGCAAAGCGCAAGCAGGCCTTTCCACTTCATAATAATGAATGTGTGAATGGGAGAGTCGCGCGAGAAGAGAATTTTTTTTTTTTTAAACGTTATAACTTAACCCAACTGTATTTTACATTTTAATGATTGTCTCAAATCTTCTTCTATCAAAAAAAAATTTTTCAAAACTAATCATTTGTTTGTTATTAAAAAAAAAAAAAAATGTAATCCCAACGAGAAATGTCATTAAAATTTTGTTGAATAAGAAATTTCAAGGGAGAGAAATGAGAATCATATATATAGGACGCGCATTTTCGTCGCGTACAGCATCCCGCTCACACATATGGTACATTTCCACTTTCAACGCGTTATATAACTTCCGTGCCAATTAATTAGTTTAACCGTATTACACCAGAAATTGGGCATCTCGCACCGTCATTCGTAAATTAATAATAACGGTGAACCCGTCATACAGAAAAGACGGCGCAATACCCGTGCACCGGATGCACCCATCACGAGTTAACATCGTCGTAACATAGAAGCCATTTCGTGCCTGCTCACATTTAGCACACGCGAAATTAAATTTTTCATAACGCCTACACATGTATATATATATATATATATTCACCATGGCGCAGATGATGATTATTATTTCAACCAAAAAAAAATTCCATTTATATAACAATGATACTATTTTAAATCCCATAAATACGCGCTCATTAAACTCTGTGATATCAATAAGTTATATATTCGTGTTCCATTTCCATTTTGGATGCTCCAATTTCCAATTATACGGAAGTAGAAAATATAGAAATTAACATATGATATATATATATATACAATATGCAATGGATATAAATAATTAAAATTTTTGTTAACTAATTCATTGAGACTATAATTTTAATTTGACTATTTTTCAGTTATTTTTTTTTTTTACTAAAAATTAGTTTTTTGTTCAGTCCCAATTTTTTTCTCGGAATAATACTTTTTTTTTCGTATAATAATAATTATTACGAACCTTGTAGTAGTTCCGAATAGGCGTCCCTCAAATTTACTCTCGGATCTGGAAAAAAAAAGAAATCAAAAATTAAAATCAAGAACGTGTTTCAATTTTTTTGTTATATTTCTACATTTTTTTTCACTATTTTTTTTGTTTCTTTGTTTTGTTTGTCATTTTTTCGTTTTTTTCTTTGCTTTGCAATTCCAACTGAATGACAGAAAGGAAATATTTTTAATTACATCGTCAACCTTTTGACAAGACCGCATGTCAAGATGAAAATGTCAGAAGCGTCAATGATTATCCACTTTGACTATAAAATACATGGTATGTACCTTATGGTACACCACAACATGCCGCATGGTAATTAACACCATTTTACTAACCATAAAACATGAAATGCCACTCTGCACTTTCAATGTCGTGTAAACGTATTGGTCACACACGCTTCCATATATATATATTATATATACTGTTGGATAAAATATAATGTAGAATATAATAAAGAACGAAATTCCCATTGAAAGTTTCCGAGTAGTAAAAGTCAATGTTCTGTCAGACACAAGAGCTTTCAGACACATTTATTGTATACGAACGCAACTGTTATTCGAAAAATTTAATACAAAAACTGCTTTTTCAAAAATGATAAAATTATGATATAAACAAATTTTATATATATTTTATTTAGTTCTTTAAAAAAAAACAATGATAAATTTATAACAAATTTTGTTAATAATTTTTTTTTTTTTTTTTTATCGAAGATAAATTTGACCTAAATTAAATTGAGTGTAAGGTAGTACAACCTAACCTCAAATACAACATAACCTCAAATATAAAATAGTCTTAAATATAACAATTTAATTTAAGGGTTCTAGAAAAATATTTCAAGGTTCTAGAACTCTGGATTTTTAAACAAAAACTAAATTAGTTTTTTTTGAATCATTAGGTTATTATTATTTTTTTTTTTAAATTAATTTTTATACAATTAAAATCTTAAAAATGTGGAAATTTAAATTAAATCCTCTCTTTATTTTCCTAAAATAATATTTTTATTAGAAATAAATATTATTTATATTATTGATGATTTAGGAAAAAAAGCTATATTATTAACATTATAATAGCGATCAATGATGCTTATATGATTATTATTAAAAAAAAAAGTGCTAAAAACATTGTACATATATGTCATTTCAAGCAAGTGGTTCCATGAATATGCAATGTAATGTAAATATCTTATAGTTGTAGCATATGTGAATTGTTATCAAAAGACTCAACACACGCAATATATCTATGTTTTTTTTCTAGAATGAAATATCACTCAATAAAAGTTTCACCATTTATTTCTATCTCTAAAGGTAACGGAAAAAGTCTTTCCTATGTTAATTTTTTCCATTTTTAAACTGACAAAAAAAAGAAGATAGTCATCAAAATTTAAAATATCTATTTTACAAATTCAGTTAATATATTATATCAATTATATAATAATCTTTAATAAATAAACAAAACAAAAAAAAATATTATTTATGGCTTTTAAACAAATTTGAAAATAATTTTTATTGATATAAAGGTAAATTGATTTAAATTATGAATTTTAATTAAAGAAAAAGATATATATATTTGTCAGAAAGAGTAAATGCGAAAATGCAATTTAATAATAACAAAGAACAATTTATTATTTACATAAGAATAATTATTTTACAAAAATGACCTGAAAATTATAATTATAATGTTTCATCGTTTATTTCTACTCTCACGAAATTATTTTACCGAAATTATATTCGAATATATAATGAAGATTATTGCATTACATATTATATTTACGTATTTTATCCAGGTGTACTAAAAATGGCAAACAAGGGACTTTTCATTAAAATAAAATTTCTTTTTTTAAACAAAATATTTTTAGTACATATATTTAATACAACAATTTTTTCTTCAATAATTAAAATTTATTACTCTTTAAAAATTAGTAAAAATTTTAACTAATTTGAATTAGTCACTCACTTTTTGCTTTGGAATTAGTTAAATTTTACTAATTCAATAGTAAACTATTTTTTTTTATTAATTAGTTTAATTTAACTAATTCAAAAGCAAAAAGTGAGTCACTAATTCAAATAAGTTGGAATTTTTACAATTTCTAATTTAGTAATTCTACTAATTAATTCGATAGTAAACAAGTTTTTTTTTTTACTATTAATTAGTTAAATTCTAATAATTTATAAGCAGTAAGTCACTAATTAACATTAGTTAAAATTTTCACTAACTCAGATTATCACACGGAAATAATTCTTTATTTGGAACAGAGATATGTTTCTTTAGAATAGCGAAAACTTTCCCTCTTTTAGTGAAACATATCGTAAAAATTTTTTTCATGCAATAAAAATAATGTTGTAAAAAGAAAAATTTAATAATTTTTTCAATAATTTTGCAAATAGTGAAAAATGAGAAAAAAAAATTGTATAACTTTTGATCTGTGTTTCTTTTTTTTTTCATTTTTCAGCCACAGCCGTACAGTTTCCAATATGAGGTACGTGATCCACCTAGTGGCAACGACTATGGCCAACAAGAGAGTAGCGATGGAAATGTCGTTCGAGGCGAATACCGGGTTTTGCTGCCCGATTCGAGAACTCAAATCGTAAAATACACTGCTTCCGATGTAAACGGTTACAACGCAGATGTTCAATATGAGGGTCAAGCCCAGTTTCCAAGGGTTGGAGGTGGCATTGGCGGTGGTAGTACAACGGGCTCATTCCCAATTGGTGGTACCGGGTATCAAGGAGGATTTGGCGGTGGATACCAGGGTGGTTAGTATCGAGTCATTTAGTCGATTTATCTCAAAAACATTCATTCCCTAAATCAGACAATCTCATATTACCCCAACCCCAAAATACAACCCCCTCCCTTTAAAGCGTATACACACACTCGGAAAGGATTAACCGAACTCTTGTTCTCCACAAATCGATTTCAATGTATACATTCGTTTTTTTACACACAAAAAATTTCTACCTTTTTAGATAAAAAAAAAAAAGAATTTCAATTACAGACAAAAAATTTCGTTTTAATATTTTTGTTAAAAATTTTATTCTCTACTTTTAAATGAAATTATATTTGATTTGAGAAAAACAATTATTTAATACAAAAAAAGAATAAAGTAATAATAAAAATAAAATAAATGCCACCTTGAATTTTATGTTTATATAATTAGAAAGAATAATGACTTTCACTTTACTGATAAAAACAAAACATTTATAAATTGTATAATTATTAAAGATTATTATTATAGGCAACATATATATATATTAATTATAGTATACATATATTTAATTTTAATTATAGTAGACATCCTATAATTGAATTTTTTTTTTCAAATCTTTATAACTACTGATTCTCACACTAAACTTGATTAGATCAATATAATAAGTATAGTAAAGAAGTTCTGAAAGATAAATTATATTTACTTGAGATCTATTATCTTACACATTTAACTTAATTGATTTTTTCTCTAAACATATTTTTTTGATACCTTTTTTTTTGCGCCCAAAAAAATTTTACTTTCCCATATAATTTACCCTAAAAAAAAGAGGGTTTTTGGTGTAATTTCTTATAAATTGGTTAGTTTTGTACTTTTTTACAACTCATTTTTTTTTTGTTTATAATTTTTATGTTCTCTATTTTTTCAGCTTTTTTATACCTACAATAATTAATATTATTATATTTTTTTATAATTATTTTAATTATTTTTTATTATATTTATTTTTATAATAATTATTAATAAATATTTATTTATAATTATATATATATATATATATATATATATTTATTTTTTATTATATTTATTTTTATAATAATTATTAATAAATAATTATTATTAAATAGTAATATGATAATAATTAATAATAATAATAGTAATTCTACTCTCTAAATCTGAATTAGTAAAAATGTTCACTAATTTGAATTAGTGACTCATTTTTTGCTTCTGAATTAGTAAAATTTTACTAATTATTAGTAACTTTTACTAACAAATTAGTAAAATTTAACTAATTCAGAAGCAAAAAGTGAGTCACTAATTCAAATTAGTAAACATTTTTACTAATTCAGATTTAGAGAGTAGTAATATTATGATTCTAATAATAATAATTATTATTATTACTATTATTATTATTATATTAACAATAAAAAAAAATTTACATTTTGTCAAGTTTTTTTTTAAATTTTATCTGTATTTGTAAGTTATTTAAAGAATGTTAACATTGCAAACGAACGAAAACGTCTGGTAAGTTGAGGACATGGCTGCGCGTGCTTGCATATACAAACAATGATTACTTTTTTTTTTTTTTTTTTTTTTTTTTTTCTTCTTTTGAGAAAAGTGTATATAAAGTCACACCTCTTGGCTGTGATCTTGAAGGCACCGACGTCGTTGCAGCACATATCATACATACAAATGAGATTTCATGTTGTTGACAGGGAGGGGTGGATTTGGAGGACCTGCAGGTGGATTCGGAGGCGGAATCTTTGGAAATGGGCCGAGCAATCAATATTTACCCCCTGACAATGGATATGGAAAATAATCGCATAAGGCGACAATTTATTTATTTATTTGCAAATTTTTTTTTTTTAATTTTTTTGAATAATAATCAACATATAGATTTTATTTTCAAATCATTCATCCTTTTTAAAAAACATTTTTATCTCATACATTCATCTTTCGTTCAAAAAAAAAAAAAAATCACGATTTTTTTTTCTTAATATTTTTTTTTTTTCATTTAATTTAATATTTAGAGTTAAAAAAAAAATGTAATTATATACAAAATATACGCTTGAGTAAGTTAATTAATAATGTGAAGATAAATTATCGTTTATATATATTATATGTATATTTATGTATTTTAGTCGATAAAAAAAAATAAATAAATGCATTAGTTCTGAAATGAATGTTTTTTCATATAAAAATTTTAAAATGATATAAAATTCAAGCCTAATTATAATAAATTCTTTTGTATTATTGCGAGTGTGAAAAATAACAAGAGGCATATTGCTTAATAAACAATAACGTAATAAAATGAACCATATATGTATATAAAATAATGACTTTGAAAATATTATCAGATGAATATACAAGATGTTATTACGCTGACATCATGTAGGATGACCGCAAAATGTTAAGAAAGCAATCATAAAATTACTCTTTTACTCTTCGGTCCACACTTGCTAATCGTCTTTGCAACAATTCGTTGCACAAGTACATATATATATATATATATAAAATCGCGTGATCTAATGAGAATTTTCTCAGACCCTCGATTTGTGAACACGCATATAATAATTGTCTTATATGTATATATATATATATATACATTTTCTGTGATAACTTGAGAAATATTTAATGTTAAAAGAACATTTACAATTTATAAATAATAATTACAATAATTAAATTATTTTTTCGTTAAAAAAAAGTTAAAAAAAGTTTTTTTTATTTAAATAATCGGTTACTTGACTATTATGAAATAAATATTTATTTTTAAAAAAAATTCATTTGAATTGAATAATTATTATTTGGGATCAAACACCTTTAAAGTATCAAATATGTTAATATCAAATTGCAGCAGGAAAGATAAAAACGTTTTTTGTTCGGTAAAAAATTAGTTTTAGTTAAATTGGTCTAATTCACTGTGACAGCAACTTACATATAAATACATAATACAAAGTTGGAATAGCATATACCAAAATGATTCTAATTTGTCGAAAACGTGCGATAAGCCAAGAATTTCTTGCCTTCCATATAACTTCCTTTATGAATGAAGATGAAATATTTGTTCAATACATATGGTAGTGTCTTGTGACCCATTCGCATTTCTATTTCCCTTTAATATATATATACTATATCCCTTCTCTCATTACAATAGAGTGTGAAATTTCCTTTCTCCATTAATACCTTCTATCTCTCTCTCTCTCTATCCTCATCTCTTTCTATTCCTTCAAGTTTCATCTCTTCTTACCCGACCATTAAGTCCACTTAGCCTTTGCCAAACGTTGATGCTCTGCCCTTTCCTCTAATTTTTTTTCTTTCTTTCTTTTTTTTTTTTTTTTTTTTTTGCTGCGGACGTAACACGTGATTTCATTATACTTCATTTGACAAGAACGAGCGACCTCAGAGAGAAAGAGAGGAAACTTTCATCTCTATAAAAAAAAAGAGCCGACAAATCGTATCATCTATTTTGCAATTAGACACACAAGTTCCAATCCAATCACTGTCACTTAAATGTTCGCTTCTTTAAGCTTAAAAGAAAAATTTTATAGACGATATCGGAGAATAAATCAATACTCCATTTAATATATATATATATATATATATATATATATATATATCTGATATGTGGAAAAAATAGGGAGAAAAACTGATTTTCTATTAGATATATATAAAGAAAAATTTGCGGCCAATAGAATGTTAGAAGACGATGAAAGAAATACGATTTTTTCAATTTAATTCAGCCTTACATTGACATATGACTTTTTCTACTTTGTTGTAAAAGAAAACTATTATTTTCTAATAAAAACTGATTATTTAAATTCAATTCAAATTAATTTTGATCAATCTTAATATAAATATTTTTTATATTTATTCTTATATTTTTGTATTTTTATGTTTATGCTTTTGTATTTTTAAATTTTTATACTTTTATATTTTAATATTTTCATATTTTTATGTTTCGATTTTTGTATTTTATATTTTTTTATACTTATATTGTTAATACACTGAGAAAAATGTTTAGTTAGAGCAACCAAAATTTGGTTGGGCCAACAAAAAATTTTTTTTTTTGGTAATTAAGCAACCAAACTATTTGTTTGAGTCAACCAAAAAAATTTGGTTGAGTGGTTTTTGTTGGCATATAACAAAAATGTTTGGTTAGCCCAACCAAAAACTTTTTTTGTTAGGTCAACAAAAATGTTTGGTTGATCAAACAGTTTTTTTTGTTAAATTAAAAATGTTTTTCCACCTTATCTCTTTTCTTTTTATCTTTTTTATTTATTTCATTATTTATTTATTATTAATTTAACATTGAATTTATATTTATCCAATTGAAATATTTGAGGACTTTGGAAAATCTTATCTCCGCCTAGGATCGAACCTCTGTGAAAGATTTAAACTAACTGTTCTCTTAAACTATGAGCTAAGAGCGCATCAAATTATTTGGTTGTCGCAACCAAATTTTGGTTAGAACAACAAACGATCATTTGGTTTCTTAGACCAAACTATTTTATTGTGTTAAAAAAATTATTTTGTTGTCGTAACCAAATTTTGGTTGGAAATTAAAAATGTTCAACCAAATAATTTTGTTGACCTTACCAAATGTTTGGTTGAGATAACTCTACGACTTTGTTTCAGCTAACCAAAATTTGGCTACAAGAACCAAAATTGCCTAACCAAACAATTTTGTTGCAAACACTAAATTTTTTTTCTCAGAGTAGTTTTGTATTCTTATATTATTATGTTTATATTTTTATAACAATAACTTGTAAAAAATTACAGGTGCACCACTCGTTTTTTCTTCCTTTTTTTATATCGCTCTCAATTTAATTTAAAAAAAAATTTTTTTAAAAAACTTTTTTATATATAAACTATCCGCAAAGGTTAATTCAAAAATATCAGTAAAAAAAAATCCTGATATCAAATACATATATAAAAAAAGCGATATAATCTAAGTCAGATATCCGAGATATTTTCTTTTTTTTTTGTAATAAATTTTTCAACACTATTGTATATTGATCAATATAGTTTCATTGATAAAAAAAAGAAGAGAAAAAAGGTAGTGAAACAAAATTGAGGTAAATTAGGTTTCTTCCTGGGGTCCGAAAATATCAAGAGTCGTAAAGAAAATCACAATTTTTGAGTATAGCAACCCTTGGCAGAAACTATAAGTTACAGCAGACCTTATAAGGCCATCTCGTTTCGCATCCAAACTAGTAAAATCGAAGAGACCGTGTAAATGCAAGCTCGTAAAAGCCACGCCGTACTATTTTCCGTCGTGGAGCTTTTATGATGGTGATAGGTGTGTATAGAGGTATGTATATATATATAGATATATATAATGTTTATTTATACATATATATATATACATCATTCTGGTTCCGGAAAGTGTTTAATGACGCGGGTGTGGCTTCGCCACCGGTAAACAACATTACGAGTAAGCCATTCACACACATCAACTGTACCACCAGAGCAAGAAACTCTTAACTACTTAGGAGGGACGTAAGGGTAAAAAGTTTCGCATGAAAAGTTTTGGTAAAATGAAATTCTCCTGTGCTTCGTGTATATAAAGCATCTCTCCTAACTCCTCGCTAAAAAAGTTTTGACAATACAACTAGGTGGCTAGTTTTAAAACAAAGAATTTATCACACACCTTTTGAGAGCTCAATTTTCTTTTTTTTTACCCTTATGCAAATTACAGTTACCAGTTTTAAAAATCAATTGAAACTAATTAAAGTAAAATATAAAAAATTGGAAATAAAAATATAAATAACCAAGAAATATAGATATAGAATTTATTTTTTTGGGGGGGGGAGGGCCGTTTAAATTTGATCCTGTATGACGCAGAAATAACCGCAGAGCTTCGTGGTTTTCTATTTCAAAAGATTAATGCGAAGGCAAAGCAAACTAATTTTCACGCTTTTCGTCGGGTTATCGACTGACGGCTAAACTGGCTATGGACAGACTGCTTCAGTCTGCAAGTAATTATTGAAAACTAACCGAACTCTAATTGCATCAGAACACGCAAGCCATCCGTTTTACGCAGGCTTGCAGAGGCCTCGCGTCGGTATTTCCACTAACCGTAAATTTGACGTTTTTTCAAAAAAAAAGAAAAAAAAAGAACGAAGAAAAATACATACAATTATTAATTAATTTATGCAAGACTGACAGAATTTTTTCTTCGTCTGACAATAATTTACTTTTACTACTTAGATGGAAAATTAAAATGATTTGGAAAAGTCTGACTAAAGCTGACTTACACTACTTATTAAAAATTACGAAAAAATAAAATGTCTGACCTCAACAGATTTTAACTACTGAAATTGAAAACAAATTATTTTCGCCTAATAGGAATTAACTTTTACTATACTTAAACTAAAATTTAAAAAAGAAAAACTTGAGTAGTAATTGACTTATACTACTTACAAACAAGAAAGCTTCAAAATATTTATTGAATTTTTACTACTGGGACTAAGAATAACAAAACGTAAGGGCTATTTTGTCTGATAATAAATGGGATTTGACTACTTGAACGAAAATTAAAGGGAACCTGACAGTTTGACTAAAGCTGACTAAAACTACTAACATAAAAAACTTAAATATAAACTAAAAAAACAAGAATTAAAAAAATTAATACCTAACATCAACCGAATTAAAAATTGAATTACAGTTCAAAAAAAATTACAAGTTTTTCTATTTATTCAAATTAGTAAAAGTCAATTTCGGTCAAACAACGTTTTGTGGAAGTGGTGTAAGTAGTATAAGTCAATAAATGCCAGACAAAGTTCTCCTAAATTCCTGAATTTTTTTCCAGTACTAAAACATTATTTAACCGATCTGAAAAGTCTGACTATAACTGACTTGTACTACTACTAAAGATTGTAAGAATTACAAGATTTCCAAAAATTTATGTCTGACATAATCGGATTTTCACTACTGAGATTAGGAAACAAAAGAATAATTATATAAAAATATGGAATTTTTTTTACTAACGTAAAGAAGAACAAGAATTCAGGACTAAATTCTCTGACGGCGATTGACATTTACTACTGATATAGAAATCAAAGAATAGTGAATTATTTTGTCTGACAGAAATTGACATTTACTACTTAAAACAAAAATTAGAAAAATTTAGTAAGTCTGACCAATATTGAGTTATACTACTGAAATAAAATTTACAAT